GTTACCAAAAATCCATGGGACATTTCGCAAGCAGTCGTTAGCAAATCAATACACGAAGTTGTTAATATCATAATTGAATTTTTTACAAAACGATACATAAAATTCCCAAGAGCTTTAAATGAAGTAGTTGCAGTTAAACAAGGCTTTTTTGAAAAGTTTCATTTTCTGGCAATAATTGGATGCATAGATGGAACCTTCATAGCCATTATGCCTCCTTCGGGAAACGATCCTGAAAATCCTGGAAATGTATTTATCAATAGAAAGAATTTCCATTCTTTAAAAGTACTATCACGGCCAAAAAAAATGGAAACACGTAAATTGCTCATGTCATCGATTTTTATTTAATTTTTCAATTGTATTTGTTAAATTTATTTTGTGTCTGCTTTAGAATGAACGCCTCTGATTTCCTGTCGTCTTTTAACATCAACGTAACAGAGAAATTGCACTTGCAATAGAAAAATTAAATAAAAATCGATGACATGAGCAGTTTAGGTGTTTCCATTTTTTTTTGCCGTGATAGTACTTATAGTATGTGACTCAGATTTAAAAATTAACGGAGATAGATCTATGGTTGCTTGGTCATTCCGGATATCCCCTAGAACCTTTTCCGATGACACCAATAATAGTTGCTATACCAAACACTCCGGAAGGTTGCTGTTCTGAAGCACATAAGACCGCTCGAAATTGCATAGAACGCTCCATAAAAAAGAAAGCATATTTCAGATGTTTACTAAAAGACAGGGTGTTGCAGTACACGCCAATTTTTGCGGCTAAAATAATATATAGTTGTGCCGTGTTGCACAATATACTTAGACAGGCAAACATTATAGACGATGATATGTTACTGAGTTTGAAGAAGACGATGAATTTAATTTAGAAGGAATAGAGGGAAATCTACTTCATCAGGGTCGACAAGTTCGAAATAATATAATACATCATCACTTTAACTGAAATTATTTATTTAATGTTAACATGTATTTTATTTGTAGCAAAAAGCTGTTATTTAATTAAGATTTTCCACAGTAACCTTATATTTTAAATGGAGTTTCATCTCTTGCAGTAACAATTCTCGCCTTTTTAATTCCACTAATTGCTGCAGCGATTTGTCTATGTTCTGTAAAATAGACGTTTCTTCTCGTGTCTTCTCTAATATATTTTGAAGAGGTTTTTGAAGATCTCCTGCAGCAACTGTTGATTTACTAACTAAAAAGAAACATTTTAATTTGTTGACAGTTAGGTATTTATTTTTACTGCTATACTTTTTCCTCAAACTAGTTTTAGTATGTGTAGCTGATTGCATTTCATTTCCTCCATTTTCCTGCAATATCATTAGATCTTCTAAATATGATCACAGATAGTCAGCATGGTTTTGTGAAGGGTAGGTCTACGGTGACTAATTTGGTGCGTATTAGTGATGTGTACAGTGATATTAGAACTTGAATGTTATTAAATCCTTTACAATTTCGGTAGATGAAACCGTAGATTTTAAACGATTTAGCTACAACATCCTGCATATGGTTAATAAAAGTAAATTTTTGGTCAAACAATACTCCTAAGTCCTTCATTGTATCCGTTCTATTGATAATAAAATTTTCAGTTTTGTAGTCAAAAATAAGTGAATATAATTTCCTACTGTATGTCCTCACGAAACATTTGGACGCATTTAGAGCGAGTGGGTTGATCATACACCAGCGAAGGAGTTGATTGATACAGATCTCAAGTACTTCGCAATCCTCTATACTATTAATTTCCATATAGATTTTTAGGTCATCAGCGAACAATAATTTACTACAACACAGTGATGAGCCAAGATCATTTATAAAAATTAAGAACAGCAGTGACCCTAAGTTGGAGTCCTGTGGCACGCCAGATGTTGGAACAAAGGGTTGAGATAAATAATTGCAATATCTGACGATTTGTTCACGACCCATTAAGTACGAATTAAATAGTTGTAAAAGCATGCTCCCAAATCCAATTTTATGTAATTTATCTAAGAATATGAAATGATCAACTTGATTGAACGCCTTCTGAAAGTCGGTGTATGTCACATCCACTTGCTTGTTCTTATCTAGCGCTTCAGACACATCCTGAGTAAAACATGACAAGTTCGTTACTGTGGATCTTTTCTCCATGAATCCATGTTGGAATGTGGACAATGACGGAGTTATAGCGGAGTAAATATGCTTGTAGAGTATTGATTCTAGGATCTTGGCAAAATTGCATAGTAGAGAAATTGGTCTATAATTACTAATATTAGATGGGTCGTCTTTTTTAAGGATGGGACATATAATGGATTTTTTCCATAACGTCGGAAAAGTAGATGTTCTAAGTATAAGATTAAAGAGATAAAATAAAGGTTCAACTAGAACTGAAGCGCAATACTTGATTATAAAACTTGGGATTCCATCAACTCCCGACGTGAGTGAATCTTTGGCTCTCCTCATTTCACTGATAATCTCCTCTTTTGTAATTTGCGTAATGGTCACATTAACGTTGGTTGATTCTAACAAATTGGCATCCCTGTTTGTTTCCGTCGACTGGATATACACACTGCTAAAATAGTCATTGAAGGCGTTAACTATATCTTCAGGTCTAGTGATTTCAGTGTTGTTGCTACGCATTACTCCAGGAATCCTAGTACTTCCTCTTTTGTTGTTTATAAATCCCCAGAATTTTTTTGGATCATCAATCAGCGCGTTTTCAACATTTCGTAACCATATAAAAGATTTAGGAGTTACATTTGACCTAAAGTTGAATTTCATACAGCATATTGAATGTATCGTTGCGTCGGCATACAAATCTCTTGGCTTTATCATTCGGAACTCCAAAGGAATAGAGGTGATAGATTCGTTGAAGATGTTATATTTTAGTTTTGTTCGGTCTAGACTTGAATATGCAGCTGTAGTTTTGAATCCTCTTTATAATATTCATATCAACAGTGTAGAAAAAATGCAGCGACGCTTTCTTAAATTTATTGCATTTTTGGAGGATGGTGTTTATCCTGTTCAATGTTTTCCAAATGAGCTTTTGCTGTTTAGATTTCGAATGCCAAGTCTGGTAAAAAGACGTAGCTTGGATAAGTAGTATCATTCTTCTATCAAACATTATTAATAATGGCATTAATTGTCCTGCTCTCGTGTGCCAAATTTACTTACGTGTGCCTACATCCAACTTAAGGAGTGGCAGAATTTTTGAACTCCCTCATTTTAGAACTACTATATTAAAATCTTCGCCCTTGTATCTGGCAATTATGAACTATTTGAATGTAGAAGCAACTATTGACATATTTTGTTGCAAACCAGGTGATATTAAAAAAAAACTCCAAACTCTATCTTAATTATCTACTTAGTTCTTTCTATGTGTTTGGGTTTTCTTTGATAATAATAATAATAATACATTTTCACTGTTCTCTGACCCCAAGCCCGCATGACTTTCATCAACAGATTCATTCCCGCATTCTTTTACATGCAGTCCACTTACCACAACCTTTCCAGTTAAACTAAGTAATCCTCCTTCCTGTTCGGTTAATCCAGCTTCTGGTTCTCCACCTCCCGTTTTTTTTTTTTGTGAAGACTGTATTTTTCTGGCCTTTTTTCTTGTATTACACTTCCAGTCAATAAACACATTTTTCCATTGGCTTATATTCCTCTTAGGACCTCCAGTGCTGTTCAATTTCAAGCATAAACTTTCCCACCTTTTTTCCAAAATATTTGGCTGGCGTGCATCAAATTTATTTAGTCTGAATGGTCCATTTTCTTGCAATTCGTCCAAATATAGAGAAAACTGTTTTCAGGTAGTTTTCCCCAAACGCTTTTTCGCCATATACAGTTTCCGACAAAACATTTCAAACATCACTTTTCTGTCATGTCAAAAATTTTAATGTAGTTTATGCTTTATTGTCATATTTCGGACAGCTGGAATGGTAAACTTTCAAAATTCAAATTTGATGTGCATGCCAACATGCCAGCGGTAACAGAAGCGAACAAAATCAAAGCAATTCATTTAAAACGAAGTGGTATGGCATATCGGAAGTATTGGGGATACCAAGAAGTACCATTTACTCCATTATAAAAAAATGGAGGGAAGGTGATACAATTCAAAGGCGACGAGGTTCAGGGACGTCGTGCTTCAGCACTTGAAGAAGATGAAATGTTAGTGAACTTGGTGGAAAACAGACCCTTCACCACAGCTGTTGAAGATGTAAGGGTTACCCATTTTCATGCCAGTGTCAGAACCGCGCAACGTTGTCTGAAGCAAAATGGATTGCGGAATCATATCGCTTGGCTAAGGTTGTAGAAGCTAATGGGGCCATGAAAAAGTATTAGTTGTTTTATTGTTATATTATGTAGCATAATAAATTGTTATAATTTTGTGTCATAATATCAAATTACTTATTTACAGGTTTTTGATTTACCATCTTACGTCGACTGCTTTTATTTTCAGCGTCACAAGCGAACGCACGTAGGTACGTTTACAGCTCTATATAGGTATATAGAACTGTAAACTGACCTCAAATTTTAAAGCCGAATCCGTTATTTCTATTTCGAAAAAAAAAATCTATAAATATGCAGCGTACTCAACAGAATTCTACTTCTTTTAAAATGACCACAATGAATGTCCACTATTTCTGACTCACTGAACTTACGCTTCAGTTACCTTCATGTACATGTGTCAAATGTAAAAGTTAAAAATGACAGTCAAATATTTATAGTCTTTGCCATTTCTATTGAAACACCACTTGTTAATCGTATATTTGGCAACGTTCATGTTCAGACGATTTTCTAACTAAAACCCGTTGTCAACCGAAAGCTGTTACCAATTGCTAAATTTTAAGCAAAATCGACAGGTGGTGTTTCAATAGAAATGGCAAAGACAGTAGGTTATAAACATCTAAAGGTTGCTTTACACTATCTGACGAACGACTGAATGACATTGACGTCTGAAATTTTTTGGCGGCAACTGTACATCCCAACAGAAAGCGAAATTTTAAAAATGTCAAATTTTGATTATAAATCTCTTTATTAATAAGAATTGTACATTTTCACTGTTTCTCACAAGTGTGGTCAATTATTGATAAGATTTTCAAAAAACTCCACAAAGTGATTATTCCTATACTCTTGGGCGAGGCAGAGGGGAGTTCTGCCTTGGTAGTCTAGGGCGTCTAGTCTAGCGTTATTTTCGACCAAAAATCTGGCTACCTCCAAATGCCCCGTTGTGGCGGCTGCATGCAACGCGGTGAACCCATCAATACTAGAAATGTTGACATCGGCCCCCTTCTCGACCAGAGTTTGTACCAGCACCAAGTTGCCAACCCACACGGCTGACATAAGTGGGGTGAAACGGTTGTTGTTGTAGAGAGTGAAATCTGCGTTGTTGTTAATTAAAAAAAGGGCTACGTCCTGATGGTTGTTCCAGATTGCACCATTTAAGGGCGTGTAACCCTCAGCCTCCTGGGCGTTAATGTCGGCACCGAACTTAAGTAACAATTTGACGATGTCGAGGTGCCCTTGGAAGGAACTGGAGTGTAGAGGAGTGTATTGTTGTAGTCCACTGCCACCATTAGGGTGCGCACCTTCCTCCAGTAGGGACCAGGCTTCCGGGAAGTCACCGACCCAGCAAGCTAGATTCAGTTTGGTGAAACCATAATCGTTGTAATCGTCGACGTACTCTGGACACACGCGTTCCTGAAATCCAACAAATAAATTAAGGACAAACTATTCAAAAGTGTTGTTTTTGCCTGATTTCCTGCCATCTTGTCGTCGAAAGAACTACACAGCTTTTGAGGCTTCGTGGATGGGTAACTTGCATTCGTCGGTGAATTTCGCGCCAGAATTGACCACACAGCAACACTTGTATTGTGGTTTGTGATACTGCTCGACCAAATATTTGCAATGTCGATGTTGACTGTAGCCATGTGACATATCTCGGTGCTGTTAGGTACGCGACTTTAAATTTGTTGCTTAGTGTTATTGTTGGCGTTATGTTTTGATAAGGAAACCGCGCCAGACTAGCTGTGCACCGTTACGTTAGATTTCCTTATTTTTTACAAACTGGTATAAGTTTTTTAATAATAATATTACCACTGGTATATTAATAATTTCATCGTACAAATAGAAAACAGAGCGACAATTTGAGAGACGTCGGTAAGAGTAAATGGAATTGTTTTCGCGTGAAAACGTTTATTAATTGCCAAACTTATAATCAATCAAATGATGAAAAACACTGTTTACTGCCTCGTTTGTTTTTTTTTTTTTTTTTAAGAAAATATATTTAGTCTGTTTCTGTTATTTCGTTAAATTAAATTTAATTCTCCGTTTATTTGTCTTCTTTTTTTTGCTAATTTGTACATCATGTGTCAATAGTGAATGGTTCTTTAATAAAATAACGGTCATTAGTTAAATCAATAATTTTTAAAGTGGTTTTGCGAAATGTTCAGGGTGGCCGGTTTCATAAAAATCAAAGATATGTCATAAAAATTGTAATTTGTATGAAAGGTTTTCTGATTTTCAATTATTTCTTTATTTAAATTTTGGTGTTAAATTTTGTTGTCCAGTTAATGCCATAGTAGCTTTATTTTTATTTTTCGCGCCTTTTAGCGAATTGCGATTGGAAGTCCTCGCCAGTACCCATAGATCTAATAATTACTTATGGATAGCGCGTAACCCACACCGTACCGTGTTGAGCATTGACGACAACATGTGAGAGAAATAGAAGATCGGGGCTTGGCTAGAGTGGGAGTGAGAGACCTAATTTGTACCACGTGATTGTAGTCAAAAGGAGGTAAATATGCATTGAAATAAATAGAAGCGGTACGAAAAATATTTATTTATTGAGTTGGCAAATACATAAAAAGCAACTAAATGTTATAAATGAATTGTGTAGGTTATGATGTTTACGATGAAAAGCGTAATAACTGTTATGTATGTATAATAACTGAAATCATGTAATTAAACCATCAGCGCCGCGCGATATGCAAACTGGTGATAGTTAATTTTCTTAAAAAAGGCATGTAGTCATGAAAATTGAAAGTATTTTTATTTTTAACGTTTTTCGTCGTAAAAGTAAAAAATCAAAGAAGTTAAGCAGACTAAAATTTCAAACGGCTATTTTCTGAAAAACATATACTTTTCATCGAAACTGAAGTTGGGTATTTTTCAATACTTGTTACCGTTGGATATTTTGTAAGAAAATGTAATAATGACAATCAATTTAACACATGGAGAAAACTATGCAATAAATGCTATATGAAACTGACTTACTGATGCTTGAAATGAATTAATTTGGTAAACTGAGCTCTGATCCTTTGCTTGACTTCATTTAAAGTTTGATTAAAATGATGTGTTTTTATAATAAAATATTGGTTTAAAATTAAATAAATTAAAAGATCCAAGTGATTATTAATGGGATCCTGATCCAAAAGATGGTCTCTTAAATTAAAAAATAAATTTCTGAAATTAATTTCCCTCGTTGCGACGAGTTTATTAATGTCCTTCAAAGCTATGTTTTTTGCTGCCCAAACACCCGTTGAGGGTATTTACATATAATTATTACTTTGTTAGTCCCAATCGGTTTTTTCTATTTAAGAAATCCGAATCGGAAACTGTAGAGTATGTACTGTATGAGGTAAAAAAAAAAAAAAATGCAAAAACCTCTTTAAGCAGTTACGAGACTCGAGCTTCGGTTTAGGGTTAAAAACGCACATTCTCATGGGATAAAAAAATGATTTCGCACCTTTTTTTATTTTGGTATATCTTTTTTACCCATACTTCTAGTGAGAAAGAAAACGAAAAAAAAAATTATTGGGTAAGCATAAAAATTTGTTTGTATTTATTTAATCCACTTTTTTTTAAATGCAGGTTAGGTAGGTAATGTTAAGTTTTGGACTTCTTTGTAAAATTAGTAAATAACACTCAACAAATTTTTAATAATTTATTTAATAAAATTTAATAAACACTACAGCACTGGACAAAATGAAAATAGATTAAGCTTAAGATTTTTGAATGAGACTATTCACAAGACTGAACTAATGGTAACCTCTTTAAACACAATAATAATTTTAAGTCCGTATAAATTTAAACGAAGAACCCGTCGATTACTGTTTATATAAAAAACACTACGTATTATGGTCTGTTTAACACTTTATAACCTTACTCTTACCGTTGTAGGTCAATAATAGTAATTATATACCAAGGGAGAGAAAACAATTTTTATAGCCGAGCTGAATTATACCCGAGACGCGTAGCGTCGAGGGTAATAATGAAAGCGAGGCTATAAAATGGTTCTCTCCCGTGGTTTATATATTATTTTTTTCACTACTAGCACATTTGTTTAACTTTTCTTTAATGACAATGTATAAAAGTCGGAACGAATTTAAGATATCCATGAAAATCAAATAGCCTGTGAAAACAAATGAATAAAAATGACATTAAACCAAAAATCTTAATAAAGAGCAAAATGTCGACTAGCGACGAAGATACTAGTGTGTGCACCCCGCCAGAAATCCGAAAAGAAGCAAGTAACGTGCAGTGTAATCAATTACTGCCACAAAAATCAAAAGAGTTCTACTTAAAAGTTTACGCACAATTCAAAGATTGGTGCAAAATTAAAAAAGTGGCCAAAGTGTCAGAAAATGTCCTTCTTGTTTATATGGAAGAAAAAGCTAAAAACAAAAAAGCTTCCAGTCTATGGGCCACATTTTCTATGTTAAAACAAACTCTTAAATTAAAAGAAAATGTGGATATTTCAAAATATTATAAAGTAATTGCTTTTCTCAAACGCAAAAATGATTCCTACACACCCAAAAAGGCGGCTGTTTTTGAGAAGCATCAAATCACAAAATTTATTTTAGAAGCACCTGATGAAATTTTTCTTTCGTCTAAGGTAATTCTGTTAATTGACAATGAGATTTTAAAAAACGCCAAATTACATTTGCTTCCAGGTTATTCTCATTATAGAAATTGCAGGAGCTTGTCGGACAGATGAGCTCTGCAACATGAAAATGACAGATGTAGATACACGAGAGGATATGATAGTCATAAATATCCCTCAAACAAAAACAAAATCTTCTCGAAAATTTGTCATTATGGAGCCCACCTGGATTGATGTGGTTAAAAAATACTTGACAAAAAGGCCATCTCCTGATATGGCAAGGCTTTTCATTGGGTTTAGAGGTGGAAAACCGACTAGACAAAACATGGGACATAATACGATAAGCAAGACACCTTATAAAATAGCTCAATACCTACAACTGCCAAATGTCGACGAATTTACTGGCCATACATTGAGGCGAACATCAGCGACTATTTTGGCTGATATGGGTGGGGACATATTATCACTCAAACGCCATGGGGGCTGGAAAAGCTCAATGGTTGCTGAAGGGTATGTTGAGGAGTCTCTCACTGACAAAAGAAGAATTGCAAATATAATTCAGGGAACACCTCATCACATTAACCTACCTGCTCCTAGCTCTTCCAATATTTTATGTGAGAGGAGTGAAGAAGTGTGTAGTGAAATGCCATCTACTTCCACACATGCTGCTACAAACAGTGAAATAACTATACCGGTGGAGAACTTTACCTCCAATCGCAATACATCGGGAATCAATATGACGTGCCACAACTGCACAATTAACTATTATTTCAAATAATTATAGTTGAGGTGTTAATCTTTAGTTACTTTGTTGTTAATACTTATTATTCTCAATTTTTTAATAAACATTTGTCTTTCGAATAACACAATATTATTTCTACATTAACATTTTCATTATTTATTATAAAAATACTACTTCTTAACAGATTACACAAATTAGAGGTTAAAAATGTCGCGTGCTCGTAAGAATAACTGCAATACATTTTTCATGATTGCTCTGGTGGCATTCTTGCTGGAGTGTGGTCCAGGCGGCAAATTTAAGATTTCGCAAGAAATTTCAGCTTCCCAGTTCTACATCATCTGTCATTAATAAACAATGTATAAAATGTGGCAGCTTAATGTCAAGTAAACACCTCAACTACGACATTCTAAGGTAACCATGGCAATACTGTCAATTATTTTCATTATCTACTAGTAGGAGAGAAAAATCCATTATTGGGTAAGGTGGAGAACAGTAATTTCTCAAGCATCAAACACGATATATAATGAAGTCTTCTGAGGCTAGTAGTGAAAAAACAATATTAAACACAAATTAAAACACATTACAAATACAAATACATTCACGACTTGACTACAATCAGCTGATCCACTGTATTGACCAGTAAAGTAAGGTTAGAATTTAGAATGCGCGGCAGTTCATAATTCAAAAATTCTACTATGGGTTTCTTATGGGAGCTTGATTTTACAGACAAAATACACCGCACAGGTAGAAATCTTAACTAGTTCATGCTACAAGCGATAAAAACTGTACAATTATCTTCCTGTTACTAAAGGTTTAACTATATAAAAAGCTTGTGTTAAAGAAATATCGCAAATTAAAAACAACGTTGTTCATCAAAGTAACGTACATCGTTTCTAATGACTTGCGCATGAGTGAAACGGAAAATCCAGAAACACGCCGAACAGAAAAGGAACGCGAATATTTTGGAGGGCTAGTGACGTTTAGATCGTGAAAATCCCCAAAATATGACAGTTGATTTCGTATTTTCGTCACAACAAACAATCATAATCACAATTTTTGGATGATATATTAGTTCTGTGATATTGGTTCACATTAGGTTGTATATGTCTGTGGACTGGTTTTATTGTATTTGTTATTAATAATGACAGAAAGACATGTGTTAACAATAAAGGCAATTACCGGTTTTTTTTTTGTTGACGATCGGAAATGCATTGTGAACGGAGAAAATTCTTTGCAGTCAAATAATGCAGTGAAAGTCACTTGGTATACTGCGAAATAGCCAATGGTAAGTTAATGTATATTGATAAATTCTGTATCAAGTACAATTATGAGGTATTTTGTTTTATTTTGCATAGATATTCCTTAAGAGAGGCAACATGTGAAACCACAAGAGGTGCATTTGTGTGTCACCATATGGCTACACCTGCCCTACACGGGCGTTATAATGTATTTTGGACCAATAATTTGCGTTCTTGGGACGTACATCTGAAGAAAAGTTAATCAGCCGAGGTCAGAGCTGTGATCTCTGAAAATTCTTTTAATCCCCAAGTCAACCTAAAAACAGCTAATGTTGAGGTACAACTTTATAAAAGCTTACGACAAACTGATGGGAGCGAAGCACTGCTTTGGCTATTGGGCCCTGAACCAGAAAGATCTGAAGAAAATCTGCTTCACAGTGTCGAAGAACTATTAGTATCCGAGGACTATTTAAATGCCCCATCAATATAACAGTTTGTGGGTCAGTTTTTCACCAAAAGTGAATCAGATTTTGCATTAGGCGGTGCAATTTTTTATTGTAGAATATTTTTTTTTGTTTTGAAATAAATTGGTCTTTAAATTGTGATTTTTTTTAAATGGGTGTTACAGACCCAATTCGTACTAAAATGAAAGTGATTTTTACTTGTACATGAAAGGTTTAATCACAAATGCAAAGTTTTTCATTTTCTACCAAAAAGTGTGAAAAGAAAAAAGCTTGGGATTGATGATGATTCTTAAATCAAAATTTGGCAATTGATTGAAAACATTTGCAATATGAGATCTCCTTTATGTATTCACAGCCGTATCTCTAGTGATCTCTAGCATGTGAAAATCAAAGCCATTTATGTGGAGGGGGAAGTCAATGGCAATATGAACCACTGTGCGACATACGTTCGAGGCAAATGTAGTGGTAAAAGTTGAATTCAAATATTTATTAAATACCACCGGTTCCGTTCGTGTTTGGTATCAAGATCAACAGTAAAAATATCAGTCTTAATGGTACAAGTAGTGGTATATATAAGAAAATTACTTTAATGGTAGAATTTAAGCGTTAAAATGACGCCTCGATTTCACCCATAAAGATTACACGGGTAACTGAAATTCGGGTCTCGTGTTATGAACTGAGTTCAAATTTCGCGCGTCATTCACTTTACTGGTCAATTGCTTTCCTTTTCTAATGTTGGCGTCAATACCAAGCGGTGGCGCGCTATCCATAAGTAATTATAAGATCTATGCCAGTACCACAGTAGATCAGCAACGAAACTTCAGCAATATTTGCGGAACGGGTGTGACCTTGGGAGGGAGCCCGTTCCCGGGAAACACGAAGATTCAAATATTTCGTAGCATTCGTATAATACTAATAATTGTACACAAAAATAAAAATGGCTGGTATGTACTAGTGACATTGGCGATTTTTTCTTTTTTGTAAATTATTAATATATTCAAGCAAAACATTTTTATTCAATTTTGACGTATTAAATCCTTAACAAGTCTGACAAATAAGTTGTTATCCACAAGTGAATTGCAAAATTTTTAATTCACTCTTAATATTTTTAAATCACTCACAAAAAAATAAAAAACAAGTTCAGGAACATAAATATTTTGCTTATTATTTTTAATAGTTTTCACAGAATACAATTTGTTTACAATTTTCACTAAAAGGTTGCTGCAACTAAATCAGTATTGTTTGGCATATTTGTTTGGCTCTGTGAGGCGTCAATTTGGGAATTGTATAAATCCCACACCAATACAGTTCCAAAGAGTGGTTCGGAAACTATTTACTACAGATTATTTCAATGTGAGTGCAAGAACCAACTGTAAAACACTATTTTATTTGAAATGAAAAATTTGCCAAGGTGTTCTTTTAAACAAACTTCCACAACACATCTTCCCCGTATTCTGGCCTCTTCAACAATCATTAAGTGATATGAGTTACCGGAAATTCACCTTGAAAGAACACAACTGTTTACGGTATGTTTGTGGATACTCATTAATACGAAAATTCTTACACCACCACTTCTGCGAAGTTTGTGTGAACGTTGCACATTCTTGCGAAGTGGTACATCCTGTTTTAATTGTGTGCCATTTTAAAGTCTTCAATGAAGATGTGATTTTTGACGATTTAATGATGCCACCTGAACATTTTGCAGTTTATACTCCGGTAATGGGTAATACATTTTGTGAGTTTTTCCCAATTTATGCACTGTAGTCATTAACTGGTTTGCGGCTAAAAAACGAACCATAAAAAAATAACATTCCACCACCCCTGCAAAGACTTTCCTCTTGATTACCTCGTTTCAGTGTTTATTAGAGTTAAAATTTTTTACACACTAAAATTTAACCTGCAGTTTGTTGACCTCTTTAGCCTGTAATTTTCTAGTATTTTTTACATGTATCGTAAGTATCTACTACTTTGTTAAAATAAATTTTACATTTGTTTTTAACCTCATAACCCAACATCCCATATGATCCCGTAATTAATGACATTTCTTGTTGACAAAACCACACAAAACGAGCACCGAAAACCTTAAAATGAAAAAGAAACTATATTCTTCAAGGTCGGAGCACCTTTAGAGACGCTAGTGACCTCTTTATGTCGTTCCGTAAGCTCCCCATGTATTTCTTATGGAAACAGAGGTGCGTTCAGAAACAGCGCGTAAGTGTGGTGTGAGGTTTTACGAGGTGACGTGACGTCATCTGCCAGTGTGCAATCAGGGTGCGCGACTATTCTGAACGACGAAGTGTGAATCGGGTTTGTTTTGATTGTTTTGGCATAACCAAACATTACGTTAGAGATCAACATCAAGATCAAAGATGGAGTTATCTAAAAGAAAAAAAATATGTTACTTACTGTACACTTTTTTAACCGGACAGCTAACATTGTGCGAAATTGTTTTTGATGATGACATTGGTAGCAGCAGTGATGATGATGAAGAGGATATAATTATTTGTGAATTAGGGATAAAAAAAAGAAAAAGAAGGGAAGTGGTGCGCATTAAAAATTACATAACAAAAGTGGTCCCCAAAGGAAACGAGAGAGCAGATGAAATGGCGAAGCGAACCGCGCGCATGCCCTTCGGGGGACCCGAACCGGCAATCACGCCTTCGGTCGCCCTCTCGAACGAACTCGTAAAGCAATATACCCAGAGACGCCATGAGCAGATATGGGTGAAGTTGAGCAGCTGTCGGCATAGTAGAGCTTGTATGGCGACACCAGACCGTAAGTTGACAAAATTTTATCTCTCACTTTCAAGGGACAAACTGCGTAAACTGGTAGGTTTCCTTACGGGACATTACCAGTTTAACAAACACTCTGAAAAAACCTCCTGGAATTCGTTAACAATATTAGTTTCGCTAACCGATAAGACTTCATTTTTCTCGTCAAATTCTGAAACTAATTCGAATTTAAATTTGTTTAAAAAATCTCTCCCTAGCATACTTTGTTTACCGTCTCTTTTGTCGATAACGAAAAAAACGAAATTTTCACATTTTACATTTTTGTACTGTATACATGCGTTGAAAGTACCCAAAACTTTTATTGGCTGCCCTGAATATGTTTTTAACTGCCTATTATTATATTTTAACTTGGCACTTGGCCAATAAGATTTAAAATCTTTTTCTGAAATTATTGATGTACATGCGCCACTATCTACTAACATTTGTATTTCCTTATCACTAATATTGACGTTACAATAAACTGGGCTGTTATTAACAAAACTAATGCTATTTACGCTTGTTTCTACCAAATTTTGTTTATTTTTATTGAAACATGCCTTTGCTAAATGTCCCACCTTTTTACAAATGTTGCATGTGTAATTTCTGTATTTACACACCTGTTGGCCAGTATGGGTTCCTGCACATCGCCTGCAGTTCCACTTCCCTCTCTGGAATGGCTGGAATGTGTTCTTAGATGTTCTTGCCTCATTATTGTTTGTTTGAGATTTCCCTTCCTGTTGTGTATCCTTTTTGGTCTGTGGCACCCTTCTTATTGTGTTGACGGAGTCACTCTGGCTTTGTAGAGCTGCTTCTCTTGCTTGTGCAATCTCCACTAGTTTCTGTAATGTTGTGGTTGGGGACTCTTCACACAATCTGTCTCAGATGACACTCCTTTTCATAGCACAGATGAATTTGTCCTTTAGCACAAACGTGAGCTCGTTTCCAAACTCGCAGTTTCCCGCTAGGTTGTGTATTCTAGCGTACCATTCTTTTACCGTTTCATTGTCTTGTTGTTGTGCTTCGTAGAACTCAATTCTTTCCCTGAAAATACATGTACTGGGTGAAAATTGTTTCTTTAGCAGAGTACACAATTCTTCATAGGTTTTATCCTTTGGTAACGCCGGTGTGCAGAGATCTCGTAGAGTTTTGTAGGTTTCTTTTCCTATCAGGCTCAATAAAGCTGGCACTCTTTTCTTCGACTCTGTTTGACCCTCTGTTGCTGGGGTGTCTACTATTCCATTTACGTTAAAAAATTCCTCCAGCTGCTCTTGGTACAATGTCCAATTGTCCACTTTTGGATCAAAACTATCGATAGAACCGATCAGCGTCATCTTCTTGTTGCGTCACCACGTGTAACACAATGATTGTTTTTTGGATTTACCCGTCTTCTGCCGCGTTTTTTCTATTTTCTCCGATTTTCCTCGTCGCCAATGTTGTATATTAACTTTTATAGGAAATCTCTATTTGTTTAAAGTTGTTTATTCTACGATTCTTCATACATCCAAGCGTACAGGTCTTAAACCTAACCTCATTATTCTACTTATCGCTAAAGCTGGCTTTACCTCTTTTTTCTCGTAAAGCCGCGCTTACACTACCCTACACTAGGGGACATCTGGCCTAGTATGGCAAATATCAGGGAGTTTCCACCCTCTGCATTACTCAAGTACATTCAAGCAGTTGGGTGGCTTGACGAGTAGAGGAGCGGGAAAACACCCTGATATGGACTTGGGGAAGGTACAATGGGCCCAAAGGCGAGGCCTAAGTGCCGGCTGGCTACGGTCAGCCCTCATAAATTAAGAATCCAGAATCCAGAATGGTCCCCAATTATAACCGGACTCAATTTAGAAGTCATTTTAGAATTAGTTATGAGGCATATGAAGGCCTTTTAGTAATTTTAGGCCCACGTCTGCAGCGAGTAGGAAACAAGGGGCGAAACATAATACCAGTTGAAAAACAGTTACTATCAGTGTTGTGGTTATTAGCTACCCCAGATTCGTACAGGTGGGTGTAAACTTGCTATTTATGTATTGCTATAATTGTTGGTTGCACACCATTTACAGGTCAGTTGGTGAAAGGTTTGACATGGGAAAGTCTTCTCTATCAGTTTCTTTCATGAGGGTGGTAAAAACCTTAAATGTATTAGGCAGGCAACTTATCTCGTGGCCCAGGGGAGAGAGAGTAGAAAGTGTAAAGAGGAGATTTTTTGAAATGGCTCATATACCAAATGTCATTGGAGCTGTAGACGGTACGTTTGTCCCTATAAAAGCACCAGAACGTGATGCGGAAGTTTACATAACTAGAAAATGCCATTATGCCATTACACTTCAAGGAATTTGTGATTCATTCTTGAAATTCACAGACGTGTATGTTGGTTACCCAGGATCAGTTAGTGACACACGAATATTTCGCAATTCAGATGTGTACAGATTGATTCAAACTAACACAGCATCCCTGTTAAAAATGCCCAATCAAATCCAATATAACCCAATCTAAGTTAGATTGGACCAGATTGTGTTTGATTGGGTTAACTGGGATTCAATTTGAACTTATATTGGATTTGATTGGGCAAACACAATTAAGGGCCTTGAGTGGATTTGATTGGATTTGATTGTGAAAATTGGAAATAATTGTGTATTACCAATAAAAACATCTAAGAAGCAAAATGTGATGTGATAAATACAATTTAGGTTTGGAGTGTGCTAGAACGTGCAAATGGAACATTTTATTTTATTTTATTTTATCACTAACATTGATGTCCCTAATATAAATAATTTTGTTGCTTTCTTTTAGATTCCCAAAATGGCTTTGAGTTATCATTTGCAATAAACTGACAGCATTCCAACTACCGTATTGGCAGCATGCATTTTACATAATATTTGTTTAGAGCATGATGAAGTACAATATGGGAACCAATACATTGCTGAAGGACAGAATGCAATTCATGGTAATGAAGAAGCGGCACGTCATGAAATTGCTGAAAGAAATGGGAGAGTATACAGAGATCAACTTTGTCAAACTTTATTTCAAGAGTTGCAATAAATACACAAAATTTGTTCATTGTTAGAAGGCACAACAAATTTTATTAATATTAGTTTTGTAAACGTATAATCAAATAAAATAAATATTTCTATTAAAGTAGATAACATTATGCTACTAGGTATTACCTACTATATCAATAATAATAATAATAATAAGAGATAAAGAAAACACAAACATAACTACCCCTCTGGTAATAGAATAAATAAATATTTTTTAACTTTAAAGTTTTTTTAACAAACTCGCCATAGCATCCTTAAATACTTCCAAAGTTTTTTCTTTCCATTCTCTCATTTCTTGGTGGCGTCTCTCTCTAGCTTCATCTTTCTGTTTAACGTTATTTAAAAGTTCTCTCATTAAAGAGTCATTCTTGTCACTTCTTTTTTTTTTCTGTGGTGGCTCATCATCATCGTCTGTAAAGCTTTCAAGGGCTACAATTTATTAAATTATACTGATTCATACATACAAACAACTAGAGCTTGTACTCACAAGTATTTTCACGACTTGACGACGCGATGGCTAAAGGTTCAACATTAGGTTTTTTCCCTAATAAATCATCAAGTTCATAATAATATTCAAATTTGATTCGCTCCTCCCCACTGTGTGTATCCTTCATATTATCTCTTTTTCATATATCTATGTAAATGTTGTTCAATATAAATACAAGGTATATGTTTGTTTAATTAATATATTTTTTCCACTAGTAGCATTACAATGGCTAATTGTCGACTTGTCTAGAGGTCTGTAATTTGGAAAATTGTGAACCTTGGTCAATAATGTAAACGTGAAGTTGGCCACCTAATATGACAACTCTCCACAACTGTCAGAAAAAATGCGACATAACCTGAAAACGATCATTTTGGAAAATTTGCTTTTAAATTATGCCCTGGAATGATTTCCGAACCCTGAATTGATTATTGTCGGTGTAATTGACGATAAATTACTTAGTGATACTAAAACAATTTAATAACTGAAATATTACAACTTATAACAATATTAACGGTAAGGAAACATTTAATTCTTATTAAAATAATAGTTGATGGTGCAATTGTGGCACGTCATATTGATACCAGCAGTCCCTGTCTTTGTACTTGAATTGGAAAAACTGGCTGCAGGTATGTCTATCGTGGAGTTAAGAATTTCGTGCTCTGGACCGCGGGAAGTGGACGGGAATGAAACAGAAGTGGACGGGAATGAAACGGAAGTGGACCGGAATGAAACTGAAGCTGACGGGAGTGAATGTGTCGTAAATGAACTTTGGACCATTTCGGCGATTTTTTTCTTATCGGATATCGAGTCGTCGATGTATCCTTCTGCTACGCTGGAGGATTTCCATCCCCCGTGTCGCTTTAACGATAAAAGGTCTATGCCTTTTTCAGCCAAAATTGTCGCGGAAGTACGACGGAATGAGTGTCCTGTGTACTGGTCTGGGTTTTTTAATCCTAGGAATTTCGCTATAGTATTTGGAGTTTTGCTGATTGTATTGTGACCAATATTTTGTCTTGTAGGTTTATCCCCACGAAAACCAATCAATAATTTTGGCATATCAGGGGTAGGTCTTTTTGAAGTGTACTTTCGAATTATCTCAGTCCACAGAGGTTCTATCACAACAAATTTTCGCGACGCTCCATTTTTGCTGGTTGGTATATTCACAATGATAATATCCTCCTTGACTATAATGTCTTTCATCTTTATATTACATAACTCATCAGTGCGGCAAGCACCAGCCACTCCCATAACACAGATCACCTATGAAATGGTTTGTAAATATTGATGACAATTATAAGCAAAAATACCTTTTTTGATAAAAAATCTTTATCAGGAGCTTCTGTTAAAAATCGAGTGATTTCTTCTTGCGAAAACACGAAAGATTTTTTAGGTTTGTAACCTGCATTTTGTCGCTTGAGAAATGACATAAGTCGTGGGTAATTTTCGATTCTAATGTTTTCTTTTAGGGAAATTGTGGATTTGAGCATTGAATACGTTGCCCATAATGTGGATGCCTTTTTCGTTTTGGCCTGTTCGTTGAAATATACCATAAGCACATTTTCAGACGTTGTCCCAATTTTTTTCCCAAGCACCAATCCTTAAATTCTGAATATATCTTCAGGTACAGTTTTTTTGATTTTTCTGGAAGTAGCTGTTCTTACATGCGTAGTGCCGTCTCTTTTATTTCAGGAGGGGTACATGATGGTTCACCTTCCAACATTTTTCACAGAAAAAATTATTTAAAACGGGAAATATGGTGGAAATTGAAACAAAAGTTTTGGACTGTCAAAAAATAACAAAATTCCAAAGCTTACTAAAATGACGTGAGTACACGTTTTTATTGATGCATATCAGAAAAAACATTTTGAAAATTTGCAAACCTCAAATGGGCTACTAGTGGAAAAAATAGTATATTAACCACGTTTGTGAAGCCAATTCTAGACCTCGCGCTTTATAGCCCTCGACGCTGCGCGTCTCGGGTTCTAATTTGCGCTCGGTCTAGAATGACTGCCTTCACAATCTTGGTTAATAATATACTATTTTTACCTTTGCTTTAAATATTTCCACTTGTCACGACACTGACTGGGTGAAAGATGAAATTTATGTTTGGCCATTTCTTCAGCAATATTTCGCCATACCTTGTCATTTTTCATGGTGGTGGATAAAAACTGCGCTTGGAATTGTTTCACTTGTGCAATCGGCATCAATATTCCATTTCGACACCATACACGTCCATTACAATTTCCCTCATCAGCAGTACATGTGGACACAGCAGCAGCAGTTGTTATGTTAAAATAACTTTTTATCTCCTCCGTTAGAGTAGAAACACATGTGTCGTCTAAAAACTCAAAAGTGGGGAACGTTGATTTAACACAGAAAAAATTACCTTCTATTTGTTGCAGTAATATATTATTGCCATCAACGATGGGCTGGTTGTCTTCGTTGACGATTAGGCGGTATTTATTTGCCATATCTCTCTTTGACACAAACGAACAAAATATGATGCAACGGATTCCGAGTAATCATAACCTCAAAGTATAAAAAATTTGAAATCAAATAAGTCACGTTTGTCAGAACCGCCTTTTCACTCTCTATCGCCCATCATCCGAGGTGGGTGTTGACCATGGGTATCACTCTGGTAATTTTTGAACGTTTCTGACGTCATAACTTTGGATCATTCTGAATTATTTTGAACGGCAGGAGTTACGCTAGTATGATCCTTGTCTCATTTCTGAACGCACTCCAGGTTGTGGTTTATCCTATGTCCGCTCGATGTCTGCGCGAAGTTTGAATATCATCAATTCATCATCAGTACGCAGGATTTTATCTCACCGCTGCAATCCCCCAGTTGAAGTAAGGTGTGTTTTACGGCGAGTAGTCTACATTACTATATATTACTTCAAATAATAATACTCGATTCCCTTTTTAATTTTTCAACCACAGGGCCACAGATTTGTGATCTTGAAATGTTATATTATGTTGATATAGTCCAAATAAAAATACATTTGTAATCAAACTATCGCCGCGTCAGCACTGGTTCTAGCGTATGAGATACAATTCCGCGCGTTGATCATCACCAACTTCATCAATCTCTCGAAATAAGGCCGTTTCGATTTTGTAAAAAGTTGTTCCCGCAAAGTAGGCCGCGGTGAACATAAGACTGCGCCGTCTCCATAGCTCTACGTGAACTATCATTTTCAAATGTAAATTTGACTTTTTCAAATTCATTTGATATTTCCACGATGGGACGAAAATGTTTTGTTTGCGGAAATGCAGAAAAGCCATTTTTTAGTATTCCAAATGATGTTAATGTGCGAAACAAATGGATGGAGTCGTTAAAATTAGTTAATGGTTTGTAAAATGGAAAAAATGTAACAACTCGTTAAAACATTATTGTAGACTCGAGTAAAATAAGTGATTACACAGTATTATGTTCCAACCATTTTGGAAGAGACTGTTTCGATGCCAAAGCAAAACGTATGCGCCTTTGCAAAAACGCACTTCCCACTTTTAACGTAGATAAAAACAAATTTCTGTTAGCAACATACACTTTACTAACTATAGCCTTATATATTTCAGATTACTGATTCTACTAACATCCTACCGGGTCCCAACCCGACTGTAGTAGTTTTAGAACAATAAAATTCTAATCAAATTTCACATATGCAGTCTGATGAAAACAAAGAGTTTCAGGATCTCAAATATCAATGTAAGGTATTAAAGTTACAGCTTAAGAGAATGCAGGCAAAATATTCGCAATGTCTTATCAAAAGTAAATCATTTGGAAGAACAGGTCACTGCATTAAAAAAATGAAACATTGAGAAAATTATTGAGAATATAACCAATGCAGATGAAAAATCTTTATTTATTTTAGACATTCTAAAAAATTATAAAAAAATACCAAGATGGTCAGAAATTACCGTCCGTATGTGTACAGTATGGAGATTCTGCAGTCCTAAAGGCTATAAACTGAAAAACTACATTATAGCCGATCAGAAGATCGAATTTATGGTCTTGACCCATCAAAACCTGAAAAAACAATCGGTGAAAAACCTAAAGTAGCAAACAAAATGCTTTGTTTTGTGATACATGGATTATCCACAAGGTATACCATACCTACAGGCTATTTCTTCCGTTCTACGTTTACAGCAGATGAGTTATATTCACTAACTAAGAATGTGTTACAATTTGTAGGTAAATGCGAAAAAAAAAACAATAAGAAACCGCTGTTTGAACACAGTTTATGGAGTTGCCATGCCAGAACACTTAACGAACAACCTAGAACGAACAATATTGCAGAGGGCTGGCATAGTAGTTTCCACAGACGGATTCAGGCGAAGAATCCTTCTATCTGGAAATTTCTAGAAGAATTATTGGAAGAGCAAAAATACCAGAACATGAAATTGGACCATCAATTGGTAGGATATAAGGAGCCAGAGACTAAGCGGTACAAAGACAAGAACAATAGATTAGCGAACGTTGTCAAGCAATTTACCCAAAAGTAGAACGAGACCGAAGATTATTACATGCAAGTTTTACACCAAATTGCTTACAATTTATAACAGTAATAATTTTTTTGATAAATAAAATATTCTCTTGTTCATTTGATGATTTGAAATACAATGTTTTATAGTTTCGATCTTTTGTATTTCGGTATTTAGTTTTCGATTTTTTGTGCTTCGACGCAATGTATTTTCGATATTTTGTTATTCGGCCTTTGGTATTTTCGATTTTTTGATAATTTTCGATCTTTTGTGTTTCGACCTTAATTCCGCAAACCGGAGAGAGGACGGGATATAGCGAGATGGAACAAAGGAAGTATATGGATCTATTTGTTGGGATTTTCTGGGAAGGTTCGAAAGAGGTGATTTTTAAGGGGTCGTTGACAAGAATTCGACAATGGTGACAATTGGGGTTGCATATGCACTTGTTACAAAAGGAACGCACTAAAAAAGTGACATGTGGGGTAATTTGTGCGCATGCGCAGTTTTCTACGTGGGGAATTTGAATATCTCTGTTCGGAACGTAGCGATCAATCACATGACTAACCATGAAGTTCCTCCTCTAAACTAACCAAATACGATATGGATTTGTTGGTTGTCTTACTTGGGAAGCGTCATATAGTAAGGAAATAAATTAAAACAGTATTGTTGGTTGTCTAACTTGATTTGTTTGGAGCATACCCAAAAAAAACCCTCTTTAAAAAAATGCTAGGTGTAGGAGTCGAACCTACGCTCTTTGTAAGAACTAGAGCTTAAATCTAGCGCCTTAGACCGCTCGCCCAAACTAGTTTCTTTTTATTCGACACAATAAAATGAAATGTAATGTTAACATTGAATGAAACGATTAATAAATAATACCCAAAGACTAATCACGATTTTACATAACATCAAGCTTTATTATCCTTTTTGTTCTCTTTGGTTTGTTCCTGAAGAACGGGAATTTTATGGTGTCCCCATGGTAAAGTCTCTATGTTATCGTTGCAAATGTAGCGTTTATCGTCATTGTTTGTTAGTGAGCGTTTATTTACCACAATAGAATACAATTAAACGAGCTGAAAACTGTTGTGTGTTTAATTAATACATTAAAGAATTCTGTAAAAGTTAATTTAGACGAAGCACTCGTTCCAACACCTTTAATTTTATAATGATTTTTACCAACAGATTCATTATCTCTCAAATAATTGTATACTTTTGGACGTAAGATTGCGAATTCACTCATAATTTTAAATTTCATCTCATCTTTCATTAATCCAGGTACTTTTTTATGTACGCGAGGAATATTCCATATATATAATTTATTGGATAATCGCGCCTATCAAATTTTCTATGTGCATCTAAACGAATTATATCATAAATTCTATCGGATGATGTTGGAACGAGAGAATAATAGCTATTTATTATACAAGTGTCTTATAAGGCAAATAAGTCGGTAAAGAAATGTTTAGCCACGAGAGCTTGCTCGAGTGGCCTAATTTTTCTGAAGCGACTTATTTGCTGTTAAGACACGACTGTAATACATAGTTTTATCCAACACCTCCTTTAGTAACAGTACCTAAAGCATAATGAAATTCCCAAAAATTCAATGTCGTTAAAAGCTGGTATACGAGCCCTAACAACTAAATGTTCGGACAAGTATTCTTTTATACAAAAAAATGTAATTTAATGAAAAACAATGTATTTTACAAAAACAAAACTACAGTACTATATAAGTAGGTATCTTTAATGCAATATTCTCAACAAAAATTGTAATATTATTAACTTAACAAAATTATAACACAACAAGAAGCTGATATGAACGAATAAATTTGGCAACTAAATATTCGGACATGAGTATTTTTTTTTACTTAATGTGGTGTAACATCTTCTTTTGCTTTGATTACTGCGCGTATCCTTGCAGGCATAGTACTTACAAGACTTCTGCAGTATTCAGGAGTAAAACTTGCCCAAACTTCGTCGATTTTTGCTTTTAAACCTAAGAGCGTTCGTTGGGGGTTGTTGCGCAAAACGGATTTTATGTCGTGCCAAAGTGTCTCAATGACATTTAAGTCAGGACTGTTCGCAGGCCATGAAAGGACTCTGATATCATGATCCCGAAACCATTTCTTAGTACTTTTTGCGGTATGACATGATGCACCGTCCTGTTGAAAAATATAATCGTTGTCCGGATACAGTTTTTCAACAGAGGGCAACAAACTGTTTTCTAAAATTTGTTGGTATTTCATGGCGTTAATAGTCGTTTCCACCAATTCATAATTCCCCAACCCTTTAGCTGACATGCATCCCCACACCATTATTCCTTTAGGAAACTTTACAGTTCGTTTTAAACAGTCTTTATTGAACGCTTCACTTTTTGATCTTATCACTCTTCTCCGCAAATCTCCCACGCACACATCAAATTTTGACTCGTCACTAAAAATGACCTTTGACCAATCTTCCATGGTCCATGCCAGCTTAGACTTTGCCCAGTTGTACCTATTTTTCTTTTGATTTGCCGTTATTAAAGGTTTTTCTTTGGCCTGTAACGGCACGGTGGAACAAATGTAAACCAAAAACTTAAAAATTACCTTATAAAAACTTAATCCTGACATTCTCGTGACAGCTTATGCCCTATTTCATCCGTCCATTGTGCTGTTATGTCCCGCAATGTGTTTCTTCGATTTTTTTTACAAAGTTTTACAAGGAGCCTTTGACTTCTTTCTGAAACTAATTTCGGTCTTCCTGAACTTTTTCCTTTAACGTCTAGTCCACCAGTTTCGCGATAATGTGAGATTATATCCGCTACAGTGGACTTTGCTAAATTCAGTTCTTCACTAATTTCCCGAATTTTTTTACCTTGGCAATACTTCTTTACAATAAGTGCACTTAATGATTTTTCAAGTGGACGTCCACAAACCATTTTGTTAAAGAATATATATATTTTTCTATGGATCTTACAACACAGTTAGGTAAAGCAGGAAGAGGAGAATGATATTTATTAACAATCAAACAATTCACACCGCCTACTTAGTGAAAATTATTTTTTTTATTTATTTGTCCGAATAATTAGTTGCCAAAGTGTATTCACTTTTTCTGAAAAATCCACAGTCATATTTCAATTAAAATTCTATGTAAAGTAAAACATTCAACTTTTTTATTAAAAACTATTCTTTGAAATCTTAGCTTCCTATTTTTATGTGATTTGATAATAAAAATTAAAAATTAATTCATAAAGAGTGGTTTTTGAGCGCTCCGGTTAGTTTGTCCGAACATTTAGTTGTTAGGGCTCGTAGTCAGGATCACGAAGCAATGCGTACACGTCACGGACTCTGTATGACGTCATGCGTCTACCACGTTTATCATACAAATGAATCGGTTTGAAAACTGTCAAAAAACAGGTCGGCTTGTTATTGTTGTGGTTTGTTTTATTTATGATTATAGCATGAGAAGACCGTTAATGTAAAGCAACAGTTAAGAAATAAGCTACACTTGCAGTGTTTCAGCACACAAGAGCATGCTGCAGGCTGCATAGACGCTATGAATTACAAACTCAGGCACAGGAAAGATCATGACTATAACCCCTTTCACGTGTTCCTAGTCACTGAAGCACTTGTGAAATCGATAAAACTTTAGCATATGTTTTGCTATCAGTCGTACCAATATAATTTCCCCCAAATTGATCGATTTTGATCCGTATTGCCACGTATTGCGGCGCGTATTTTTGATTAAGTTTTGGTAACGGATCTACGTCATCCATGACGTGTACGCATTGCTTCGTGATCCTGAGTATAGTCTATGAATAGGTTCCCGTGTGCTTGCCACGACAAATTGTTTGTTCATGTCAAATTGAGAAAATTTTTAAAATAGAAAACGGCTTATGCACTCGTGATATCAGTGGCGTAACTACCGGTGTTCCGTGTGTTCGCCGGAACACGGGCCCGCTGCTTCAAGGGGCCCGGTCCGGTCACACGAACATTTTTTTTTTATTAGATTTTTTTATATTATTGCCCAAATTACATCCCGAAATAAAAAATTCGAAAATGTGGGGTAATCCCAGGATCGATCGTTCATTGCTTTTTACGAATTTTTTGCTGCAAAGGGCTGGACTCAATAAACTCGGATTTTAGCGACCGACACCGGCGCTCGAAAATGCAGCAGCATCTGTTTCTAATAAACCTGTCGCAGTGCCGCAATCCCATTGTGGCAAATCTAACATCCCATGTAGTAAATTACCAATCTTTATCGGACAAAAGTATGACTAATTTATGATACAATACATCAAAATACTTAAATTTTGCCCTCAGATCTACAGTGAAACTTCATGCTGTAATAAGACGTGAAAAAAATTCAGTTTCAGTTGTGTTCACGGTTGTGTTTCATGAAAACTTTCGTATTTTCAAAACTATTTTAATTTTGTACTTGTGGTGCTTTTTTGGAATAATAAAATATTTCTGATGTATGTTACAACTAATTTTTTAAGTAGAAAAAAAACAGGACTGGGAAATTATCACAGCATGTTTCACTTTTCTTACAATATCTTCAGCGGAAAGATCTTTTTCGAAATTAAAAATGACTAAACATTTTTTAAGAAACACAATGGGCCAATGCAGATTATCTTCATTGAATCTCTCAATTGGAAATCAAATTGCCAGAAGCTTAGATGTGTCAAATTTTGTATCAATTTGTGCCCATTGGAAAGCAAGAAGAAAACAATTTTGAGATTAAAAAAAATGGGCATTTTTATCTATACTTCTATACTTATTTATATTATAAAGCTGAAGAGTCTGGTTGGTTGAACGCGCTAATCTCAGAAACTACTGTTTGAATTCAAAAACTCTTTTTGTGTTGGATAGTCCATTTATCGAAGAAGGTTATAGAGTATAGACTATATATCACGCTACGATCAATAGGAGCGGAGCAGCAATGAAAAATATCCGAAAAACAGAAAAATGATTCCTCCTTTGACAGCTTACGTTGCTTACGCTGCTTAAACGGTTAAAGTTACATAAAAATCATGTATGATGGAATTGTTCCCTTCTAAAAGTTCTAAAAAAAATTCCGCGACAGCATATGTCTACCTTTTAAGGTCGACTCGGTATAACCTTTTTTATGGTAATGAAATTTGTTCTAAAATAATCTAATATAAAATTCAGGTGTCACAATGTTTGTAACCAAACTCGTCCGAAACGGCTTGACCGATTTTTATGAAATTTTTTGTATATATTCGGTAGGTCTAGTAAACTACTTTTTATACCCCTAAGTGATAAGGGTGGCCCACCAAATTTTTTTTTTAATTTTTACGGATAATGTTTCTGGTGTAAGCGAAGACGTGCTGTTGGGTTACTTCTTTAACGTCAGCAAGAGAGTTGGACAAAATATTCCATGTTAAGAGCGACATTAAAGCTTCACGAAAATGCAGATATTTCGTAATATGGCAGATTGATCGCTTTTTTGAAGAACGCATCTAAAAATCACAAGCCAAAGAAAGCAAAAGTTCTTGAAAGAGAGCACATTCAACAGTTTCTAGTAGAGGCACCTAATACAAAGTTTTTGATGATGAAGGAAAGTCGATTTTGTTATTTGAGAATGTAATTTAATTTTTTACATTACAGGTGGCACTAATTTTTGGTGTATCAGGTGGCTTGTCGATGTAATGAATTAGTGACAATATCAATCGATAACGTAAAAGATAATGGATCCTATATGTTGGTATCTGTACCAGATACAAAAACAAATGTTTCACGCAGCTTTACCATCATGAAAGAAGGATTTTCCGTTAATGTGCTGGATATTTGTAGAAAGTATATGTCTGTGTGACCTAAGAATGTTTCAGGTTGTTTTTGTGCTACAGAAGTGAGAAATGCACAGTACAGTAAGTCGGAATAAATAGTTTATCGACAATACCATCAGTAGTAGCAGATTTTTTTTAAATTACCAGAAGCAGAGTTGTACACAGTATGAAACGCACATCGGCAACTTTACTATTTAATGCTGGAGCTGATCTTGGTATGCTCCAACGTCATGGCCGATAGAAAATGACAAGCGTGGCACAAGGCTGAAGAGTCAATTTCCAGCGAAATGATTATTGCTAAAAAGATCCTGGGTAAAAATTCGGGAGCGGAAAGCAGTGTTGAGACTGA